CCTGCTGCTCTCAGCCCTGATCTTCACCCATGGACACGACGTCCTGGTTGTAGAACTGCCCATCCCTAAGGCTGGGTCTGAGGCTCTGCACTCTTGGCTGACCCTGCCTGCTGTCACCAGTCCTGTTCTGCTTGGTGAGCACCTGTGGGACTGCTCCCTGGCCCATGAGGTCACGGACTCTGCCAGCCTTGCTGCCACTCTTGGCTTGCCCTTCCTCTGCATGACACTCTGCCCTTCCTGTGCCATTGCACTTAAGGATTGTATATTTACACATAATAACAACTGCATCAGTATTATTTATAGCCACCTGCTTCTCTAACAGTAGAAGAAGCGTTGAGAGAGATCAATCAAATCTTATATACAGCCAAGGAAAGAAAATCATCAACATAACAAGAAATACAGGGAGAACTTCACACAGGTTTGAAACAAAACAACCAAACAAACCCCAAATTATGCAGAGCTCACCTTTGTTCTCAATCTATCAACTTCACTGACCATTTCAGAGTATCTGCTCTTCATTTCTCCCTTCAAATTAAGCTCTGACTCCATTTCTCTCTCCTCATACACCCTTATTTTCTTCGTAGCTCTACTGAGAAGTCTCTTCAACCTAAACATTGTTCGGAAAACAAAGAAACAGAGGAATAAGCAATCTTTTCCATATGTTCCCAAGTAAGGAGTGCAGCTATAGCTTCATCTTTAGCATACTTAACAGCACCAGGAATTTCTGAGAAAAAATCTGCTCTTCTGGTGCCACAAATCATCTGGTACACGCAAATTTCAGCTGAAAAGATGGACTGAAGACTTCCTTCCCCACACCTGGAGAACTGCAGGACAACCTGGATCGGCAATTCCTCTTGCAGCTGTAAGTATACGCTCGTGCACAGATGTACTTTCCAGGAACTAACATGAGACTTCAGTTTGCTCACAGAGTATGTATAACTATTATTACATTACAGTTCAATAAAACTGGACTTCTATTCAGGGATCTCTTCATCATATCAAAATGCCATACCTCTTAAAGTCCTTCTGCAATTCCAAGTTTCTTCTCATTTCTTGGTCCAGACGAAGTTCAACTGGGCGTTTTAACTCTACCAGTTTCTTCACTTTCTTTCTTTCACTCTCACACTTTCAAAACAGAAAAGACATGACACACAAAATGTAAGAACAGCTATGTGCAGTATGTGTCTCTAACAATTTCCACAGAGAAGCTGCAGTCCACCTCCATCTGTTAGCCAAGTTCCACATTAGGTTTCACAGCAAACTGGCCAATATTGAATAATAAAAAGAGATGCCTCCACTGAAACAAAGATGGGAAAGATGCTGGACTACTTTCAGGAGTTCTCAACTCACAGCAAAGATTATGTAGGTATGCTTATCATGGGAGAATACAAATCATTCTAAAGGTTTTACAGGATCTTTATTGATCAGCAGGCAGAGGAATTTGGTCTTTGGGAATTTTTTCAATATACAATTCCCTTCTACCTCTTCCTTGTAGCTACTTTCTTATGTGCTAGTTGCTTTGTACTTCCTTTATTCCTCTACAGACAAGGGGGGAAAGATTGGCCTTTTGAAACTGTCAGTCATTTCTTGTTTCTCAAGCACATGTTCATTTCCCCAGAATTCCTTCAGTATGTTTTTCTGCAAGGCTTTTAAGCATACCCTAGTCTTAAAACATGCTGCTGCTCTTCTATGCACTGCACTGGAAAAATTAAATACTTCAACCCTGCCCAGAAAAGAAGGGGTCAGAAGACGGCCAGAAGGAATGCAAGAAAGAACTGGGGAACTGAAGCTCTGCTTGATGTGCTCAACTGATGCAAAACCATGCTGGGAACTCTTTCAGAGACAGTTACTCCAGAACTTACACAAGATACCCAGATAGCTTTCATTTGCTTCCTGGATGATCCACAAATCACAACATATCCAGAGCCTGAATGGCAGGGGTAATAAAAAAATGCTCTTTATGTAACAACTTGACCAAAAGATTAATGTGGTTCTCTCAGGTACTGGCTTAGGTCTCCAGAGAATTATCTGGATTTACCTGTTCAAAGAGGTCTGCCTTTTCCCTGTCGAGTTGAGCAACACGCTCTTCGAGGCTGGATCTTGACTTAAATTGCTCTTCCCACATGCTCTGCAAGTCCTTTGATGTCAGAGCCAGCACATTCTGCTTTTGCACCTGTAAAAGCAGCAATGGCAGAAGAAGAAACTAAGGTGACCATAAAGAAAACACTGCAACAGAAAGCTGTAACTTAAATGGAAACTCTCTCCTCTCCCCATCCAATGTCTATGGTTAATGTTAATGTGGAATGTAAAACACAGCTTGGGAAACATGACCAAGAAGAGAAATTGAAGATGGTAAAAAAGAAGAATGCTGTAAGGGTGGTGAGATGAGGTTGAACTTTGGGGAATAACAAATACACACACAAAATCACCCTATAGCTTTCTTCCAAAGGTTCTCCAGAGTTCATGACATACTTTCTATTGTACTCATTTCTAGTGCCCATCACAGAATATACCCTACACTCATGCATTCTGTAACAGCTGTACATCTGAGAGCAAGAAAACATTTTGAAATTGACAATGGTATTATTGATGGTTCTGTCTAAAAGGACAAAGATTTGCCTGATAGATGCATTTGAGTTGAACAGAACTTGCTGATTCGGTTCAAGTATAAAGAATGGAAGTTGACTAGATAGCTGCTTTTAGTGGCATTTTTTAAGGAAAAAATAAAAATAAAATTAAAAAATCAGAAAAGGAAAAAACGATGAGAGAGATGATTACTGGCTACAGAAAGTGACAAAACAGCACAAAGTTTCAGAAATAAAAAATCCTTAGGTCGTATGACTTTCTCAAGTCCTTACAGAGAAGGTAAAACACTGGTTGTCATGACAAAAACTGACATGGCCTCAAGACAAGCTCTGACAAAATTGCAAAGCTAATATGGATCTGTCAAGTCTGGTCTCCTCTCTCAGCTTTCAACCACAGATCTCCGTGCTATCCACAACATCCACTCTATCAGCCATCTGCTATGGTTTAACCCTGGCAGGCAGCGAAGCATTACACAGCCACTTGCTCACTTCCCTGCAGGTGGGATGGGGAAGAGTATTCATCAGATGGTGATGAACACAACTACCTTGCACACCACAACACATACAAAACACAGCAGTAAGAAAATGAGGACATTTACAGCCTTTTCCCTTGAGAGTGCCTTGCCCTAAAACCAGATGGGTATTTAACAGCTGTGTGATTACACATTCCACATGATCTTTTTATCCGTTACCTATACAGAAAAATTCAAAGACTAAAACAGTCATTCACAGAAGCCTGTCATGTACCTGCTTGTGGTGGTCCTCTGCAGCTGCCTGTGCTGTCTGTAAGCTCATTATCAAGTCTTCCAGGCGGTTATGAACCTATAGAAGCATTACAAGAAGCAAGAAGGCACACTATGACTTTCTAGGTTGAAGTTACACCTCACTGACAAAAGTAAGCATTACACAGAACCTCTTCACCTCTTTATTCCTACATTATTTATACCCAGCAACAATGATCAAAACAGCCTTAGTTTGATGCCACTGTAATATTGTTAGCAATCATCACTTCTGCCATTTGGTGCAGGGAGAGAGAAAAGACCACATGAGATATAAAGAATCTTCAATGAAAACAGGCAGAAGTAGCTTTTCTCACCCCCAGTACACTTGAAAATCAGGCCTTATTAATCAAAGCTGAAGGATTTGTGACTGCCTTTCCACTTCTCTTGAGAGTACCAGTACATCACAAAGTTTGACTATCACAGGCAGTGATTTTCAAAATATCTTCAGCTATAACTGACAACTAGAGTTGTAACAAGAACCCTAGTTCACTGGCTACAATACAAAAAGCAACAACAACAAAAAATCTCTCTTAGTTCAGGCAACTTATCTGAGCTAAAATTAACCACTGTGTAAAAGCAGTGGTAAATTCCAAGTCTCACACTGAGTTTTGCAGATACCACAAGCAGTTCTCTTCACTGCTTCATGAGAACAGACACACAGCAAGTAGCCAAAGGAAAAACAATTCTGCACAGCAAAAGCTCTGGGACGTGTAATTTTTGTTTCAGTCTGATGATGTCAGCCAGGTCTCTGGCGTAAAGGGCTTGGAATCAATATACCCTGTGGATTTTCCACCAGTTAACTTGATGAGTACCTTAAATAAAACACACCAAAGCAGAATGTGATGTTATGAAGAGTCTAGAGCAGACAATAGCCAACACCAGTGTATTGCTGTCAAATCCTTACCTTTTAGAGTGTTATGTTTGACTTGCTATAGCACAGGAAAATTTTCAAAGCCGGATGGCTGTGAAGTAGAGCAGGCTGCTTTCTGAGCAGCCTCTATTCAGAAAAATGCAGGAAATGAGCTTCTCTTGGCTCTCCAGAAAATCTCATCATAAAATTTCCTCACAGAAATATGTAACTCAGCTCAGGAATCACTAAAGGAGAAATTTATGAGCAGCTTACTGAGGCAGAGGCTTGCAGATCTCTCTGCAGGGCTTCAATCCTGTTGCTTTGTTGCTGGACAGTGGCTTCCAATCTGGTGTTTTCGATTTCAAGGCTTAAAAAGAAATACATGTCTTATTATAAAAATCTGCCAGAGCACCAATTCCAAAACAACACTGCAAAATAATAAAAAACAAGAATAGCCTTCAAAATCTTAATAATTTGCTGTGATGCAACAAGACTACCTATCTATGTTGTGGTTTCCAGCCAACCCCTGCAAGTGACAGATACCTCACCCCACTATGTTCTCTTACTGTTGCACATGTTCTTCCAGTTGTTTTATAGTAGTGTTAGTCTCAGAAGATGCCAACAGCTGGTCCTGCAGTTTCAGGGCAGAAGCTGTTGCTTCTCTTTCCTTATCATCCAAGGCAGTCTTCAAGTCACGAACACAACGCTCAGAATTTAGGTATTTTTCTTCCACCTCCTGCAACTGTGAAATCACAGAAAGAATCCACAGTTGTCAGGTGAGCTTTTAGACAGAGGAGTCAGCTGCTGCCCAAGGATTCACATGCTGCAGGTATCTGCCCATACCCTGTGCCCAAAGAACTGTAATCATCTCAAGAACTTTCAAAGCTTTGCTTCTACTAGCAAACGTACACAAGCTGTGTTACTTCCTAATCTTCTACAGTGGCCTCTCCCATCCCTCCATGAATTTCCTAGAGCATGATTCTAAGCACTGACACTGCTGTTCTGACCCTTCTGGTGATTTAGGATACTCTTTGTATTCACTTGCTTGCTCCTCTGTGAAAACATGAATTAAGAAGTTCATCTGTATGTAGTGACTCCACAAGGCCCTCATAAGGATCAGATTTTATATTATTTTCCTTTTAGAACTCCAAGGCCTCTATACATCCATACCTTGGAAAAACACTGTGAAAGGCGGTCCCTAACTCAGAAATAGCTTATATTTCCCTTGCAGGAAAACCACTTAAGGATGGCAAATTACAGCAGGGCCAAAGAAGGGGAACAAATGCAGAGTAAGTTACAAAAGCAATCAGAATCTGACGTGTTACTTGGTGACAGGGCAGGGTGGGGGAAGTGGGGGCAGGGGGAAAGCAGGACAGCATAAAAATGTCCAAACACAGCAGTCCAATACTTCTACTGTTCTTCAGAAATCAGATAATCTGCTTGGCTAAACCAAAGGCAACAAGACGTAAATATAGACACAAATTTATTGTGAAAAGCACTTTAGTAAATAAAAAATTTTGTCCAAGTAAGGGCAAAATGTCCGCATGTCAAAGACAGGGACACCAAGTTTATTAAACACACAATTGATTCACACATCATTAAATCTATGCTGTTGAGTCTTTTTCCTGCGGTTTTAGGACAACATCCTGCTTTTAACTGCCACCCTAGGATTCACTCATATAATTACAGACATTATGTACCTTGGTTTTAGCCTTTTCCAATTCCTTTTGCAAGCACAACTTGTCTTCCTCCAGGTCACTGCGGTAACGTGTAGTAACTTCGAGTGAAGCTTCTGACATAGATTGCTTTTTAAGAGCATCAGCAAGCTCCTGCTGCAGCTGTCTGATCATGCCCTAATGAAACAATTCAATGAAAATGAATAAAGTTGTAAGAACATGAAAAATGCCTTTACTTTGACTTATTTGATGATAGTTAGACTTGTTTTTGGATTGAATGCAAGTGAAATTCTGTCACCAGCAGGGATGTACACAATCACCTCTCCATCTTTCTCAGCTGAGCATTCCCAAACTGTCAGCTCATGAGGATCTCTGCTTCCTAATAGATAAAAAGATCCAAGTATTTCAAAATCATGCATAAGCACACAATGCAATCATGGGAATTTTTCTAACATAATCCAAAGAAATCTGCTGTGATGCAAGAGCCATCATCTGACTGCAGATACTATTTTGTTGACCAAAGGCAGGACTTGGTATCACATCATTCTTTGCTCTATTCCTACATTTTACAAATATAACTAAATGAGTACCTATATCTAAAAGCTCTTTTTAGATATACTCTAAGAATATGATGAATCACATCCTCTTACAGCTGTCTTAAAAGCATATTTTAGAATAACACCTACCTTTATACTGATATATTAGATTTACTAAAACCTGGAGAATTCATAGAATTATATAAATGTGGTATTTTCAGAGGGAACCTGTTGTTTTGGTACAAAGAATACACAGCAATTCAAAGATTAAAATGACTGACAGTGTTGCTGGAGTACTCTCCCCACACATACCTTACAGTAAATGACAAATGAAGAATAATACAGTTATGTGACACATGCCTGTATTTATCTCACTCAAAGATGGCGGACTTGTTAGGAAGAAGGAAGTGTAATTTTAAATCACTATTCTATTTTTTCTATTTTAAATCATTAAAGGAGACAAACTGTATACCAGTACATGTGTCTAAATATTGACTTTAATTAGTTCCTGTTTTCTAGAAAGGGAGATTAAACAAAATGAGTAAGGCAATTTTTAAGCCAATACTCTACCTGAAATTGGCCAGAATACTGTATCATTACAGAATTCCCTACCTACTCCTAGGAACACAGATAACAATTCACTCTCCAGGCAGACCCTTTAGAGCCCCCAGAATATGTATAAATTAATACCAGGACACTTTAATACTCTTCAATTTTGACAGCAACTTAGGGAGAGGCAATGTTTTTCCTCTGTAGGAACTTAATATTCACTCATCTGTATCTTCATTTCTCAGCTGTCACATACTGGATCATTCTTCCCTTCACATCCCTCTTACTTGTGTCATTAGTGCAATACTTAAAAAAAATCATCAAATACCTAAACCAATTCTATAGAGCAAAAAATGGACTAAGGAAAAGAGATGAAAGAAGCTCTAGAGAAGAATCACCTTTCTTAATCAAAGCAGACTTGGATACCTTTTCTCTGCTATCTGCTAGGATCTGAGCAGTAATATCCCATTTACCAAACCTCCCACAATTTCAAGAGAAACACAACAAACCATCATTATCTGGTCCCATGCATATGGCTTATAATTGATACACTTTAGAAACACAAAATGATTTTAAGAACTGGAAAACTTTAAATTGCAGTAAATCTGTATTTTACCTCTCTCTCTATTTTGTCTGTCTCATATTTGAAGACTTGTTCTCTTAAATCAATACACTTGGCATTTAATTCCTTGTTTCTCTCTTCTACTAGGTAAACCTGCTTTTCAGTATCAGCTCTGAGTTTGTTGAAAATATCATTAAACCGATCTTGTACATCATTCACTACTTTTTCTTTGATGATCCCCTTGTTCTGCAGATCTTCCAGTTGCTGACGGAGTAAAAGGTTTTCACTCTGGAGCTGGCCCAAGCGCTCCTGCAAGGATTCCTGCTTTATTGTAAGTTTGTTTACTTGGTCTTTCTCAAGCTGTCGAGCACAATCATATTCCTTTGCCTGACACTGGCTTTGACTTAATTCTTTTTGTGTCATTTCTAAAAGCAACGTTTTTTCTCTGAGCGTTTGTCTTAACTGGTGAAGCTCATTTTCCAGACTATTAGCTTTGCTTTCAGCTTTACTCAGCTGCTGAGACAAGCTCTTGCTGGCTTCTCGCACTTCTGAAAGGTCATGATTGAGCTTGTCTTGCAGGCGAAGCCATTCATCACGTTCTCTCTGAAATGTTCGTTCAGCATCACTTTTTGATGACTGGTGACGCTCAAGTTCTTGAACAGTCGTGTTCAAGCGGGAACGAAACGATTCAATTTCTGTCTCTAGTCTGTCTTTGCTTTCTTTTGTTTGCTCAAGTTTGGAAGTCAGCATTGCAGATTCTGTCTTTAGTAAGTTCAGTTGTCCATTGTACTGAAAAACTGTTTGCGTTAAGGTTTCCTCATTCAGCTTAAGTTCTTTTTGGAGATCTTCATTTTTTTCTTTCAAGGTCTCATTTTCCTCTAGATATTTTCCTTCTTCCTCCTGGTGCCTAAGTCTTATTTGATCAAGTTCTAGTCTTAGCATGGCAATCTCATCTTGCAGTAACTGATTTTTGTACAACAGATCCTTTTCTCTCTCAGTGTCAGATTCCTGAATGACAGGGAACATGAATAAATATCCAGGTGGGAAATAAATCTACAAAACCACTTCAGCATTAAACCGCATTTTTGTTTCTAACATTGCAACATGACTTCAAAGATGAGAATGAAATTTCAGGTAAGACATAAGCTACTCTATGAGCCACTGCATGTGTCTAATGTAGGCATAGAATGAAAGCGTAACATAGCCATAAATAAACATGCCAAATACATAATGCCTTTTTTTCCATAAACCAGCAACTAAATAATAAAATGATTAAAAATATTACAGGTATAAAGGTTGTAAAATGACAGTGCTTTCTTGTGTGTGCATGCCTTTAAAATATTCCCTTTTCGATTAATTTAGCTGTGTTACCAATCTGGTAAAATCTCTGTTTACCAGAGGTAAAAATGGTATCTTCCTTTTAAAATGTCTTCTTAATGCTTTTTTTTAGCATTACTGGAAGTTTGCTATACAGCTGAATCATCCCTCGGATACAAGAGTCCTGTATAGTGCCTGTTTTATTATACAAATTTTTTTTCCATGTAAATATAGTCATCCTATATTTATTGGGCAGCACAGTCAAGAACAAATAATTCAGCCAAGAATTTCATGTTCTTAGTAAATTCAGTAAACTTTTCAAGACTTCTTTTTTCTTGGTAGTGTTCATGATTGCTTATTCTCCATCAATTATTTTAACTAGTATAGAGAGTTTAATTCATTGCTGACCTTCCTTCATAAAACTTTAATATGTGGAGGTGGAAAAGAACTTGATACTTCAAGTTTGAAAAGGGAATCAATAATTTAAAAAACCCCCAAGTAAGGGGAACAAAGAATGAGTGTCAAACAACTTCCTTCCTGGTCAGTCTGGATGAAGGCAGCTAGCTATGTGTTTCACAGCTAGAAATCTTACAAGTGATGATAAAATGTCAAGGAAATAAAAACAAGTCAGTTGAAAAAACAGCATAAATAGTGTTTTCTTTTAGCTTTCTACTTGTACATGCAGTGTAAGTACATACAGCACTGATACTTCTTTCCAAAACTTTTAAAGACGTAAGGGAAAACAGAAGAGGTATTTGCACAGTAAAATTACATTGATAAACTGTAAATAATCCATCAAGAAGCAGAAAAAAATATGTAAGTTTTATTAGAACTTTAGAACAAACATGACAAAATTTAATTAATTAGAAAAAAAAATCTGCTTACATCTGAACTTTTTCCTATCGTTCTTCTTGTCTCTTCTTCTAATTCCTTTTGTCTCCAAAGGTGGTTGTTCAAAATGCCTTCCTGCAGGGCTCTGGCACTCTTTTCCTGAGACAGCTGTCTCTGTGTTTCATCACGCTCATCTTCAACCTACAATAAAACAATTAATTTACTTGCACCTTCAGAAAAATCAAAGTTAGCAGTATAATTCCACTTTCCCTTTTATTCTTGTAAATATTTTTGCTTTCCACAGTTATGATAACCCCTCTATAAATTTTAATTTTCTTCTGAAAAATTAAGAAGAAATACAGAATGTTTTGTAGTAATTTAGAAAAATAACTCAAAGTCGGTCTTTGAAATACAAACAAAGAAAAGGGAACAGACTACTTGGAAACTAGTAGAGATCTGGCAATAGTCACCCAATGCCTCTTCCATGAACAAAATGCCTCTTCTTTAGGCATACTGGAATACAACACCAATTAAAAAGAAGCAGAAAATAAGAAGTGTTTAAGTCATTATCTAATATACCTGTTTGAAGAGCTTTCTCAATGTTACTAACTCCATTTCTAAATTCCTTGATTGTAACTCAAGTTGCTGTTTCTCCTCTATCTCTTTACAATATTGCTCTTCTTTCCTTCTGAGTTTTTCTCTTGTTTTCTCATATAGTGTTTCTACTCTGAGCCTCTTTTCTTCTTCTTGCTTCAAAGTGAACCTGGGATTTAACAGTACAGTTGAAAAACTAAAGCACTGATATAAAAATTAGATATTCTACACTATGAACTTGCAGAAACAACTCAAACCATAAAAAGGTTAAATATTTTCAGATTTTATATTTTTACTCTAGTTTTTAACTTTTTAAAAATTATAATATCATTCCATTATCCATGATATCAGTTTTACAAAATATGGAAATAAACCATTGACTGTTTTCTCATCTTTTAGTTTATCTAGGCAAATATACTGAGGTATGCACATTTCTGTTACTTTTGAAGGCATATTACAGACACTTGAATCAAGAGGAATTTGTTTTCTTAGCAAAGCAACATAAACTTTTGTCTATGATTAATATACATTTTCTTAATATGATGAGCATTGCCTGCATATTATGGATTCAGTAACTGCAAGTAATGCTGATGAAGCAGCACATCACTTATCTCTCTGACAGACCCATCAATTTTTTAACAAGCCTTTTGTAAGTCTTAAACAATGGCTGACCATAGGAAAAGCATAGGAAAGTTTCTATTTGCTCAGGAACGAGATCAATTTTCAAAAATTTATTTAGAAATGTGGAGGGTTTAAGTTTAATGTGTTTAAAAA